CTACCCGAAATTGAGGACGTCTTATATGGGCCTATATTTATAATTTTTAGTGAAGAAATTGGGTACCCAATAAGAACCCATTGTATCAAATTTCTGCGAATTCCGTTTAAAAACGAGCTGTAAATTGAATTAAAATACGGTAAATTGGGGAGTACATATAATTATAATTTTTAGTGGTCGGAAATTAATATTTCGATGAGTTACAAACGGAATGACAAAATTAATATACCCTTCATACTAAGGTGGAGGGTATAAAAATCGAATTTTGAATCAAAATGATGATATAGGGAAAAAATCATTTTTTGAAAAGTGAGAGACTCGAAAATCGGGATAGAACTATGGTTCCTTCACCAAAGTTGCTTAGAATGTCGATTAAATCCAACCCCTAGGATGAGGTTGGATTTAATCGACAAAAAATTTGGCCCGCCATAATATATATACAGTCGAATTCGGATAAGCGAACGCCGGTTTATCGAAAAAATCGGTTAATTGAAATTAAAAATTATAAGCTAATATTTCAGATGAATTTTCAAACACTTTACTTCGCTTAAAAGAAATATCGGTTAATTGAAAATCCGGGTAAGAGAAAGACTTTTTTGTTGCAAGAACACAAATATATGTGAAACGAGCACCGTTTAAGAGAAACATATCATTTTTTAACGGCGAAGAAATTCATGAAATTTTTTTATGTTTAATTTCTAAAAATATTGTGCACATTTTTCCAGCAATGCAAGCAAAATGTCTACAGAAAAAGTAAGTTCTTTCTCAGTTTATTTTATTATTTATTAATTCCACGTTTTACAGATATTGATTGAAAATGTCGTTTAAGCGCATATTTTCGCTTATCTGAAATCGCTTATCCGAAATCCCTTTAATTGAAAATTTTGCATAAGAGAAAAAAAAAATTACTGAAATAACGCATTTTCGCTTAACCGAATTCGGCTGCATATATATGGACAATATTGCCAATTTTTGTAATATTCCATTTTCAAAAAATTAGCTTTTTGGTTTTTGTGGCACATCAATGATTTTTGGTACACATATAGAGAAAAATGTTATGACTCCGAAACCGTTCGCGAACAAATTTTTGGTTGATGCGCGCAAAAGTTATCGAGGTTTTAATTTTGGGCATAAGAAAAAAATCTTAAAATTACGCCGTTTATTATATTGACCAAAAACATTGATATAGATCCTCCTCCGTAAAATAAGAATATGAATATGTTATAATAATCGCGATAAAGTTGCATATCTTCCCAAAATATGAGAAAAATAAAAAAATATACCAGATTACATCAATATTTTCATTATATTTATGACATAAACACACCTAAAAATGAATTTAAAAATATCTACATAATCTAAACACCATGATGAATCAAATGATATCAAAATCACACAAGTCCGTGTAGCGGTTTGTAAATCACAGCGACAACAAAACCAGATATTGAGGAAAAATATTTGTTTTTGGTTCGGAAAAATAATGTCATCATATTTATTTCTTTTTTTAATTTTATACAAGAAATTTCAGAAAAAATGTTCGGGTTATTCTGCTATTTTACCCGAATTTCGCCGAAAAATTGACATACAGTGAGTGTAATAAGTATTTTGCCTCAATACAAATTTGACAAAATTCCAATATATACGCCTATGATGTGATATGTTTGTGGACATATTTAGATCTTATTTCTGCAAGAATCAGTGCGAAAGACCTATTGGTCTAGAAGAAATCGGCCAAAATCTATACCAACCCAAAAATGATTATCACAAAAAAGTATTTTGCTTTTTATTATTATTTTTGAAAAAAGCATTACATAACATACGCTTTGTCTTTTTATAGTTACCATTGTGGGTAACCACATACTAAAAGCGATTTGGCAACGATTCCAATAAACCACGACATTTTATCGCGAATATTTTCTCACATTTACGTTCATTACATTCTCCACCAATATTTCATTTAATATTTTGTAATTTCTCGTCCTAATCTCAAAATGAGAGTATTAAATATAGTCGTCGCGGCTTCAAAACATCCCAAATAAGTTTAGAATAATAAAAATGAGGTTTTGCAAAACATATCGCGAGGACAGGACCATAAAAAGTATTAAAAACAAAATCCGATAAAAAATAATTTAAAAAAAATATCGCGAAACCCAATTTTTCTGACTGAAAACTTTATGGTCCATTAATATGGATCTAGGAACCAATATATGCGATGAAAATAGCAATAAGGAGGTCAGATTCAATAGAAATACATCTTATTTCGAAAATAAATAGATCGACCAGTGTATTCACTGCTGCATTTTATTTGCAACTGCTGGTGTTAAGCGGATGTAAAATATTGAATGCGTCTTCGTCACCAGCTACCACAGTTTTTCAAAATACAATAGTATTTGACGAAGAATGATGTTTTCTCCCAAATTCATGTACTGTTTTGTAGTTTCTGTTGTTTTAGAATTGTTCATATCTTTGAATCTGACCTCCTTATTGTTATTTGCATCGCATATATTGGATCCTAGATCAATATTAAGGGACCATAAAGTTTTCAAAGTCAAAAAAATGGGGTTTCGCGATATTTTTTGAAATAATTTGTTTGTCGGATTTGGTTTTAATACTTTTTAAGGTCCTGTCCTCGCGATATATTTTGCAAAACCTCATTTTTATTATTCTAAACCTTTTTGGGATGTTTTGAAGCCGCGACGACTATATTTAATAGTCTCATTTTGAGATTAGGACGAGAAATTATCAAATATTAAATGAAATATTGCTGGAGAATGTATTGAACGTAAATGTAAGAAAATATTCGCGAAAAATGCCGTGGTTTATTGGAATCGTCGCCAAATCGCTTTTAGTATGTGGTCACCCGCAATGGTAACTATAAAAAAGACAAAGCGTATGTTGTATAATGATTTCTTTCAAAAATAATAATAAAAAACAAAATACTTTTTTGTGATAATCATTTTTGGGTTGGTATAGATTTTGGCCGATATCTTCTATACCAATAGGTCTTTCGCAGTGATTCTTGTAGTAATAAGATCTAAATATGTCCACAAACATAACCCATAATACATAATTCATTTTACATCTTTAGTATGCAGCCTTTAGGCGTATATATTAGAAATTTGTCAAATTTGTGTTGAGGCAAAATACTTATTACACTCACTGTATATAATAATCACTTTTTGTGTACAAGTACACGCCTTGCGGATTATATCAAGACCCTTCCGATAAATCTTAGGGTTCTATAAATAGGAATAAATCTTAAAATAAAATAATATTATGAAATATACATTTTAAATTGCGTCTAAATCGCGTAATTCTCAAAATCATTTGATGCGCATGCGGTTTCCAGGAAGTACTGAAGTTTATCTTCCAATCCATATATATTTTGCGAAATTTCATTTGACGGCTAAGTTGTGCCACACGTTGCATTGAAGTACCCAAAAAATCGTAAAACGCGAATAATTTCCGAAAACTCAATATGCCATTAATGCGCATTCGATTTCGGTGTGCACCCTAAAAAAATACATCGATCTATACCGATTTCAATGTGGTCCATTAAGAACCATGGATGTGCCAGCTCACACTATTTTTGAGATAAATTGGGTACATCTCTCTTTCGGCTGAAGTTTTTAAAGTTCTCTTTTCGAAAAAGAACAAAATACGTATGAGGTCATTTATTGAAGCGGAAATGATCCACAGAAAACGCAAATAAATCCGCGATATTTTCAAAAACATTTTTTGCCAAATTTCGTGTTTTTGGAAGGCCAGTTCCCGCCGTTCTAGTAGATGGATTTTCACGAAGAAGATTTTATATCATCCGAAACGTAAAAAACCTTATTGATGGCGGGTACTCATGTCATTCAGTTGACAGTTCTAAAAATTTGGCCCGAAAAATAGGTTTTTTAGAAATTTGATCGCACAAAATTTTCACCATCGGATGAGTATTACTCTGAAGCTGTGCATACTACATACATACTACTACATATCAAATTACGCAGGTTCGCGACTACAATAATGTTATAATCCATTTTTATAAATTCCTGTTTGCGTATTAAAGCTAGAAGAAAAATTAAAATTAAAAAAAAAAAAAAAACACTCAAAATCGAGCTTCAAAATGTCAGCATCATTTAAAGGTAGATGCAGTTAACATTTTGAAAAATGATACATAAGGGGCGTAGTCCCCATTTTGTTGGCTTCTAGTTTTACTTTGACACGAAGACCGTGAAATAAGTGGCTTAATCACAAATCGATAAAGAACATAAAAAACTGGTTCGCCTCAACCTGTTTTTACACATTTTTTTACATTAAAGTAGACACAGCTTCCACCAAAATAAAGTTTGGAGGTCAATATCATGAACAGTTTGCAACGACAGATCAATTAACCCCAAACTATTCACTTTTTTCATATACTTACGTAATTCCCGAGTTATAAAGGGGTGAACCTCCGCTTCAGCTATGTTAAAAAATTGGCGATATTGCCCATATATATATATAATATTATATTATCACGTAATTAGTACACACCTGAAGGTAAAAATGTTTTTATTAATTCTCGAGCCGTTTGAAATATTTTTAAATAATTTTCTATTCAAAACGCTTATGTGTACTGTACTAGATCGATTCAGTGTGAGAACAGAAAATTATCACGGTAAATTTGTGATATATAACGGTATTTATACACAAAATATGTATTTTGTATAAAATATCTTATAAGGATGAAAACTCCTTAAGAATCCAGAAGAACAAATTCGAAGTAGGTAGATTTTGTGAGTTAGGACGTCATGAATGTTTGGCTGGTAACATAAAAATATTATGCCCCTTTGGTAATTTTTCATAGTAAAGGTAAATCAGGAGGCAAACTTTGAAACATAAAAAACGTATAAATATTTCAAGATGATGCATGCGTATCAACTGTTTTCAAGAGATACGCGAATTGCATGGGTTTTAATGTTGGTCTTGCTTATGTGTTATGATTTCTAACATGTATAATATATACTCACGTAAAATAACAGCATCAGGGCACACAACAGCTAACCTAGCGGTCATTAAATACGTTAACATTTTTATGTCATAATGATCACAAAGACCAGCTTGGACATGATCTAAAAACTGCATAACATCTACTCGTTCCAAGCCCTGCTCCAGAAGAGTATACATACATTCAAAGGCTGCTTTACGAATGTCTAAGCCATCATCCACCGTATGTTTAAATGGTCCCATTTCAACTTCGCGTATTAGTTCATTCTATACAGTAATAATTTAAATTTATATATTAAATATAATTTTATAAAACATTTTTATAATCGTACTTACTTTAACTTTAGTCTCCGAATATAGCCATGGTAATAGGGTTGGCAATAGATCTCGTACAAGGCTTGGTTTATTGTGAACTGCAGAATTAAAAGCTACTAACGCTACACGACGAACTGAAGGTTCCGGATCTCTAAGTAAGAAAAGGAATTTTCCTATATTTTGCTTCAAAAGCAAATCGATTTGTTGTGGTTGATCAGAAATTGTGAACTTAACTGCTGAAACTACAACGGTTCTCATTAATGGACTCTCTGATTTTAGAGCTTCTTGTAACCTGGGCAAAAGTTCTTCAGGATTAACAAGAACTAATTTGCCTAGGCACTCGGCAACTACATTACGTGATCCTTCTTCTGGACATTCGCAATGCTTAAACAACTGTTCCCAGATAGATGGTACCGATGGAAGTAATTGTGATAATCCATTCGGTGTAACAGAGAGAGAAGATATTACTTCCTTCAATGAGTGGAGAAGCAAATATTGTCGCCTTGGTTGTGCTTCGATTTCGTTCAGAATTAACGGCAAAAATGTATCTAAGCTACCTACGGCAATAGCTCCCAGAGCATGACTTGCAGCAGCCTTAACATCTTCAGAACCGGCGCTAAAACACTCTATTATCGTTTGAGGCAGTGCTGGAATTGTGCTTAATGAAAAGTGCCTTCCTATTTCACCAATGGCTAATAAACTAAATACAAGTTGAGAGTCGGGAATTAAACTTGGCTTTTGTAAATCTTGTAGTAATTGCGTTGCCAGAGGTATAGCTTCGTTGGGGCACTGCTGTGTAAGCGCGGCAACACACTTGGCAAGGGAATGATAGGCCTGTTTATGAAGTTGATCCGAAGCCGCAGATGAAGGAGCAATAACAGGTTCCATTAATTTTTTAAGTAATGAATGATAATCAAGTCCTGGAAGATTTGTTTGTACCAGAGATTGGAATAAATCATGAGTACATATAAGTGCTGAACCCTGAAAAAAATAAAAATAAACGTGAATTTACCTAAAAATGTCAGTTTTATTAACAAAACGTATGATACGATATTTCTGTGGCAAATAACTTATCGTTCGTTCGTTACGTCAACATTTCAAAAAGTACCAAATTTTACATATGCTAAATATGCCGTTGCAAGGTCTAAAACTTTACAATCTTTATTTAAACAAGACTAAACATTATTTCAAATGCAATCCTAAATCCTTTTATGACTTTGTTAATATTAGGTTGTAGAAAAAGAAATCCATTATTTTTTCGGCAGATGGCAGATACTGATAGATTTCTCGTAAAGTACCGATCAAACAATTTCAGATTTGTGCTCATTTCGCAGTAAAACAATTTTTTTGAAAATTGAAGTGAACAAATAGAAAATTCGGTACATTTTACAGTTTTCCTTCGACAAGGACGAAAATTCAAGCCAACCGGCTAAAATTGTGAATGGTGTTTATGGTTCCGATACTGTAACAGCTAATTATGTGCAATTTTGGTTTCGTATATTCCATTCAGGAATTTTTGATGCTAAAGATGCACCTCGCACAGATAGGCCGTTCGTCGAAAATGTGGATAAAATCGGAAAAATGATCGAAGTTGACAAATTTCATCATATATAAACAAATTTCTTTGTATGAATTGTTAGCACTTTTTTCTAGCACTTTTCCAAAATTTTTTAATCAAAATTTTTCTTAATCATGTTTTGGCAACACTGAACTTCATAGACAAACCAAGTTTGTCTCAATTCGTACTGGGCACGGATTGATGACAACTTGCAAAATGTCTACCCAGCATGTAGTACAGGCCCAAACATCACGCTCCACTTATTCAATTGTCCAAGCCTACTCAACTTACTCCAGGAAGAATTACTACATATACAACTGAACCAACCAATCACCAACCAACTGCAAATGAAATATTTTTTTTAAGCAAAGAATTACTACAGGAAGAATTACTACATATACAACTGAACCAACCAATCACCCACCAACTACAAAAGAAATATATTTTTTCTAAGCTAATATCAATAATAAAAACTATACCACATCGTCCGATCGATCCGAAGTGGTGAAATTATATTAATTACCAAAATTTTCCATTTCTTTGAGGTTTTACTTTTGTAAATAAGTTTGGTTCTTAGTTCACAAATTAAATCTATTAATTAAATAAAAATTACAAAACTGGGTGACGAAAACTAAGCTGAATGAACACAATTCCAATATTTCATAATATGTTTAATATTACCTGTAACAGTGGAGAACGCAGCAGCTGAAGAACAGCCGGCAAAAACAGATCATGTATACCGACCAAAGCTTTTGGATGTTTTCGGGCTGTAGTTGTTAATAATATCAATGAGTATTGTGCAACGTGTAAGTCCGAATCTGATATAAGTGGTTGAATTTCAGAAATAGCTGTTTGCAACAATGGTGGTCCAAATATATCCAATGGATAATTATCAGCAAGCTTATTTAGTAAATCCAATGAATGTAGTTTTAAAGCGCGCTGGTTTTTACGTAAAAACGTTCCAAGTGCTGGCATTACTTCGTTCAATATAGGCGTTAAGTCGATGCGTAGTGGAGACCCAGCAATCAGAGTCAATGATTTCACACAACTTAGACGGGTAATCTCATTCTTCAGGCGTTCTAAAAATATTGGCAAACAAGTATCTAGTTGCGGTTGTAAAATATCGCCCATATTAGCAATTATCTGTCCCATGCAAGCAATCGCTCTTTCTTTTACCTCTTGATCGGCGTCGGTAGTTTTTAATTTCTGGAGTGTGGCTGAATACACTTGGTTTGCGACTGTTGTTATATCAAACATATTACTTGAAATAGCACCATTATCAAGAGGGCGAATGACTTGCACCAACTGCTGAAGGACAATTAATCCTTCAGTAGCAATTTTGTAAAAGGGATCAAACACTGCAGTTATTACTAAGGGGACCATAACTGGAATATACGGTGCGAATACATATGGCTGATGTGCCTGTAGCAAAGATGACATAAAGGAGAGAGCTTCAATTTTCATATTGCTTGTAGAGTTTTTATCACTTAACGAAAAATGTATCCCTGGAACAATGCTGTTTAGATGTGGCCCCAACGCACCAGGTACTGCATTTAAAAGCTCGCGCAGGAGGAGGAAGCAATCTTGCCGCGTTTTCATAGACTTTTCTTTCATCAAGGGATATATCGCTTTTATAATAGATGGAATTTGTTCCATTAAATTTGATACATGCGATGGTATCTGCTCCATGGAATCTGGGTCTTGAGAAATCTCGATTGAACGCGTATTCTTAAGTAAAGCAATGTAAGCGTGAAAAATATCTGATTTGACATTTTCCTCACGTTCCTTAAATCGTGAAATTAATGATGGACTCAAATCACGATAAAAGTCATCCAACATATCATGTCTAGTGGTAATTATAGATTCCAAACACTTAGCAGCGGCCCTACGTACTTTCCAACTCATGTCATCATCATCGCTATATTCCTCGCTGTCATCATAATCGTCTTCCTCCGTATCCATAGCAATATTACACTCAACGTCATCAGCTTCGTAGTTGTAGTTAGGGTCATAAGTTAAATATTTAAGACATAATTGCAAAATCTGAAAGCAAACAACACAAAATAATCTTTAAGTATAAATTAACAAATTTCCTTAACGTTTTAAACAACATTTATATTATATATATATATATATATATATTTATATATATATATATAGTATTAACATTGTAGTAAATACAATGCTAATAATAAAAGTATCTAGCATTGGCTACAATGGCCATCAGCTAAATCGGTTGACAATTCTTTTATTAAATAGTAAATTTAGGATTAAATATCTTATTAATATTGGCAGTAGTAGGTGATATTAAAATATTCGTTCCATCGTTGTTGAGGTAGTTGAGGCGGGCTCTGTCGAAAGCGTTGCAAGTTTCTAAAATATGTTGAGCTGTGTAGACATTTCCACATTTGGGACACTTGTTGTGTTAATGAGATGTTGGTGTGTGGCAATAGTATGACCCATTCGAAGTCTCGAAAATATGCGCACTTGCTTTTTAGGTAAATTGGTAGGATAGACGGGCACTATGCAGTTGGGATTTATTTTGTTATAGTGCACATGTTCAAATTACATGTGTTGTTGTTTAGCATTTTGTTTAAGTTTATGTTTTATAAATGTTTTTAAATCTATTTTTTCGATTATTCCATCTAACAACACTGGAGCGGTGCAGGCGTACTTTGCTGCTTTACGGCGTTTTCGTTTCCTTCAATTCCAACGTGACCAGGTACCCAGAAAAGTTTATTGTAGTTGTTCTCGGTTAGCAAATCCCGAATTTTGTTAATTGCCCAACTGTTGTTTGATGTGCATAACACCGATTTTAGAACCGATAAAATGTCGGAAATAATTATTGTTTCTTGTTGTGAATGGATTGCAATATTGATAGCTTCTATAATGCCAGCAGCTTTGGCCGTGAAGATAGGTGAAAAAGCAGCAAGGGTTTTAATGGATAGAGTATCGCCATTGGAATCAACAACTGCGTATGCGGAGACTGAGTTTGTTTTTGAGGCATCAGTGTATAAGAACTGCCAAGACGAGTACTGCGAGGAAAAAATCGAAAATGGTGTGCATATATTTCGTTTGAAGTTCCACTTTTTCCTAGAATGCTGAGAGATGTATCGCACGATTTGTTCGAAAAAAAACCATGAAGGGCATTTAGGTTTAAAGCATGTAACCTTATCCCTAAAGTTTACTATGTTGTTCCTAATAGAATAGTAAACAACTGATGTTTTTTAGGTTTTCGTTTTGCTTTTAAAATTTTCGATACATCAGTGTTAATAACGGAAGACATGGATGACAGGATTTTAGACAGTAACATATTCCTAGACTCGAGAATTCTATGCTCGATAGAAGGCAATCCAGATTCAATCAGTAAGGTTTTGATGGGAGTAGTTCTATATGCGTATGTGCTGGCCCTGATGCTATTGTGGTATACGGCTTTAATAAGTTTCCAAGTTGAAACAGGACTGTCCCCAAAAAGGTACAAACCGTAGTCAATTTTGCTTAGCACCAGATGTTTTGGCCCAAGTGTTGATATCATTTATGATGTTAGAAAATTTAATGTTGGCAGCATCGTTATCTTTATCAGAGCTCATAATGTATAGGTCGTCAGCGTAAAGGCAATGATATATTTTAGGATATTTGTTTATGATGTTGCTGATTTGATTAAAGGCTATTTGAAAAACCACTACCGACAGTGGTGACCCTTGAGGTATGCCATTATTCATAGCAAACTGGTTTGAGTAATAGTTATTGATTTTGACTTTAAAAGTGCGTCCAGTCAAAAATGACTTGATGAAATTTAAAATTTTTCTTCCAACTCCCCATGATTTCAGCGAATCTAATATTATATGTATACCGATGCGATCAAATGCAAAAATCCTTAGTCTATCGAAAGTACTGATGTGGGACTTCTTGCAGATATGGATTTGGATGCATAAAAGTCAATGTGTAAAAGTACGTCTGTACAATCTTGGTTTGCTTTATAAGCAACTTGATTAATAGAAATTAAATTACGAGCATTCAAAAAACATGATAAGCGGTTGGAGATTATCCTTTCCAACAATTTAGACAGGCAGGGCAGCAAAGATATAGGCCGGTATCTAGAAAACTCCGTTTTACTTTTATTTGGTTTGGGCAAAGGAACTATGACTGTCGATTTCCATGAATGGGGGATGATCCCGGTCTATCGAAAGTACTGATGTGGAACTTCTTGCAGATATGGATTTGGATGCATAAAAGTCAATGTGTAAAAATACGTCTGTACAACCTTGGTTTGCTTTATAGGCAACTTGATTAATAGAAATTAAATTACGAGCATTCAAAAACCATGGTCATTGTATTTCATCTACGTGAATAGGTTGAAGTTACCTTTTCTAGATATTTTGTTAATTTTATGCCACACAAAGCTGAGAGGTAGATCACGGCTGATAGTTTTTGTGAAATTATAAAAACACAATGCCTTTTGTTTTTTAGATACAAATCTAAATTTAGCGTTTAGCGATAGAGGCAAGCCTTGTTCTTGCGTAGGGTGTATAACTCCTTATTCCACCATGGAACAGATCTTTTGGTTGTATGTCTTGTAATTGGGATACTATTATTGGCTGCATTTCTAATTTTTTTGTGTAAATGGCATTCATTTTGTTGGGATTTCCGATAAGAGTGTTGGCATCTAGTGAAGTGTCAACACCCATTTTAAAAGAGTCCCAATTTGCCTTTTTGAAATTATGTTTATAAAATGGTTTAAACTTTGCGATTGGTGATTATTGGAAAATTATCACTACTGTAAAGGTCATCTAAAGTATGACTACTTGCCATGGATAAAAGCGAAGGCGAACAGCATATTATGTCTATGTAGGTATGTGTTCCGAACGTAGATAAATGTGTGGGTTTGCCATCGTTTAGTATACAAATGTTTTGTGCATTCAGGGCATTTTCCAAAATAAGCCCCCTTGAATTACTTCTGTTGGATTCCTAAATGATGTTCCAGCTATTTACATCGCAAAGTAAAATTATTGGAGTTTTTATGTTGATGAATAGGTTTAATATGTCGGGAACCGCAAAGGTTTCGTTGGGATGGATGTAAATTGAAATAATGGTAAATTTTATTTTTAAGGAAATTTCAATTGCAATATTTAATATTTTGGAGTTATTTAAAATTCGCTTATGAGGAATATTTTTATTAATATAGCAGCTCCGCCTTTTGCCAAGATAGTTTCCTGTTTATTTGCTGCGTATGGAGTGAAATTACGAGGGGCGATCGGTTGTGAATTGTATGATAAATGTGTTTCTTGTAAAGATATGAAATGGGGATTGTGATCTTTTAATAATAGTTTAAGATCGATGTTATTATTAATTAAACCTTTAATATTTCATTGAATGATACTAAACTGATTCATTGGGGAGATATAAAGGAATAAGAGTGATGAGTGTAGAAAACTCTATTCAGACATTAATGAATCTTCAAGATTGTCTACCGCAGATCTTCTTGCAGTTATTTTTGCTGGTTTATTCTTCTTTGTATTTTCTTCATCGGAGATAGATACATTTGTTGAAAAGGTATTTTCGTGTGTTTTGGTGGTATTTTTAATTGACTCAAGTTTGGAGTTAAATTTATTGAGTAATTGTTCTGAGTTTATTGTTGTTTTCGTTGTTTTTGTATTGGTTGTAATATTTTTACTTGTGCTAGCTTGTTCTGCGCCAGCTTTCAGGGTTTTATGTTTTGGGGATTTTATTAATTTTGTTGGTGTTGTGTAGATGTTGTTGATTTGGGAATCAACGTTAGAGAGATTTTGAGTGTTGGTTAGTTTACTGTTATGTGTTATTCTCTTTTTTCTTCTTTTAATAGCATCGTAGAGACTCTCAATTGGTATTTCTGTTGGATCTATTTTAGGCGTATTTATCAAAGCTTCTTTGAAAGAGCATTTATTTGCAATTTTCTATTTGAGTACCATTTTTCTTTGTTGAAATGCTGGACATTGTTTGTTGGTTGCACTATGTTGGTGATTGCAGTTTATACATAACACTTTTGTACATAAAATTGGATCATGCGAAGCAGATGAGCATACATCACAAATTATGAAATTATGATTATGGAGTGTTAAATATAGTACCATCTCAAAATTTGGTAATTTTTTGACAGTCAACAACGCCTTGTGATTTCATGCCTGCATTTTAGCTAACGATATATATATATCGCACACATGCTGCAATGATGCACGATTGTCTGCTATAATAGACCTCATGTTTTGTAAAAAACCATATGAATATCTCTTACACTTTAATTGAGAACCTGTAGAAGTCCCATATAAAGTGTGATTAAATTGAAAAATTAAAACGCATCGCATCGTTTTCTTATATTATGCCTGTCTTGCAGCAAATGAGCGATATATACTACCCATGATTTTATATACTAACCATGTTTTTTTCATTTAATTTATTTCAGCTTTTTCATTAGTGATACATACATATTTAAAGATTTTAAGAATCTATTTCCGTTTCTACTTAATTATTATACATAGTTGTAACAGTAGTGATTTTACATTTTGTATTTGTAAGGAAAAAACCTTACGATATGAATGTCTAGATGTGGTGGGTTGTTAAACCCATTTATGAAACGATTTCATTAATATGGGGATAGCACGAAGCTATACATCGAGCAACAAAATTGGTTCAAGATTTTTCTAGTTGATTTTTTACGAGTAGGAACGCAGAAAGGGTCTACAATTTTTGGGTGGGGTTTCATCAGTCAGAGTTACATCCGTTTTAATAATTAGTTTTGAGCAATCTCTAATTTCTTTATATACCTCCGAAAATAAAGGTGCACAATAATAAATAATTGGTAGGAAAATTTATGTAATAACTAGCAGACCCGGCAAAGTTGTTTTGCCGTATCAAAATTGCTTCAATTTAGGTTTTCCACTAAATATTTTTCAGGATAAGGTCAAGTTTTGATCTAATTACTCTCACCTCAAAAGATAATTTAGTATGGGTGGCGTAATTACTATTCCTATTTTGATCACATACGATTCATAAGTCCTTTGAATCATTAAAATTG